TTGCATGATTGACCAGTGAACAAAAGAAGGGGTTGAGTATTAATAGACTGGTGTATGGCAGTATTCAGAGCAAGTTGAACATAGGGCAGGTCTTCGTCCCATGAGTTTGTATCGCGTTCAGTAAGGATTGCAAGCATATCCTTAACTGAACGGTTGGTTAGGTTAGTCATCCCGTTTGCCTGAGTGTGGTAAGCTGTTGTAAAGGCTGAAGTTGTCTCCAATATCTTACAAACTTCCCTAAATATATGCCCATTAAATTCTTGACCTCGGTCCGAAACTAAAATTTTAGGAGGCCCAAATACAGCTACAAATCTATTAAAAAATGCTCGGGCAACAGTACGAGAATTCTTTTGAGAGATGGCTATCAATATGGTGTATCTGGACAGATGGGCCACTAATACCAACACGTACTGATTGCCTGAATGGCTGCAATGGAGATCAATCAAATCAGCCCCCACTCGGTCTAGCGGTTCTGAAATCTCTGGAAATTCCTGTAGTGGGGCTTGTATCTTAAGGGCACCTTTTCTCCTCTGGCAATTGGAGCAACAAGTCTTTACGTACTTAATTACTTCTGACAACATTCCCGGGAAATAAAAGAGAGACTTTGCTTTCAAGTGAGTTTTAAACATACCCGGGTGACATGCAACCTTAGATGCATGTGCCAGCTTTAATGCTGCTGACCTTAATTCGTCTGGAATAACTAGCCGGAATACTGCTCGATCTGCCTCACTACATAATATAGTACTCCCTCCTTTAACTCAAATTCATGTATTGGCAATATTCGATTTTTAGACGGATAATTTTCCCCTTCCAAATATTCAATAATATCTTTCCACCTAGGTTCATTTATTTGGAATTCTCTCATTTTCTCAACTGAAATGTTTTCAGTATTCTGGTTAACGTTAATAGTAGCGATGTTTCTACTTAAAGTATCCGGCACTACATGTGACGGTTCAGGCTTGTAAAGGATCTGGAATGAGTGTGCAGACAATTCGTGAGACCAACGCGACATCCGTGGGCATTTCGTACGTTTCTTAAAAATGTGTGTTAATGCTCTGTGATCAGTGTAGATTATAAAATGGCGTTGAAAAAGATAAGGTTCGAAATATCTAACTGACTCTACCACTGCGAGCGCCTCTCGATCCGTGGCCGAATAATGAACCTCTGGTCCCTTCACCTTCATACTGAAATAGGTCACTGGATGGGGGAAATTTTCCGTCTCGTTGCATCAAACATCCACCAATAGCTATACCACTGGCGTCTGTGTGTACTTCCCACTCTTTATCAAAATCAGGCACGGCCAATACTGCGTTGTATTGAGTTGACTTTTAATTTTCGCATACGCTACATCATGTTCTGGCTTCCAAATAAACTTTACATTTTTCCTTGTTAAATCGGTCAGGGGTGCTGATGTTCGTGCAAAACCCTCAATGTGCCGACGAAAGTATCCGGCTGCACCCAGAAACCTGCGCACGTCCTTTGCTGTTTTTGGAGTTGGCATTTCAGCAATGGCGCGGCAAGAGTCAGGGTCAGGCCTAATACATCTGTGCTCACCTGTAATCCCAGAAATTTGAATTTCTGAGCTGCCAGAGTTCACTTCTGCACACTTAACTTGAAACCCGCTCGATCCAACATGGTCAAAGTCTCAGTCAGGTCTCGTAAGTGTTCGCCAAACGTCCTGGAATAGATTACCACGTCATCCAGGTACGCTAAGGAATGCCTTCTCAAACTATTTGCACCTTTTGCAAATCGAGTACCGAGATCAACTTATCTACATCCTGTCTGTTACTTGAAACATCTGTCTCATTCTTTATTTTCGATGGTGTCTTGTTGTCTATCATATTTTAAGCACTACATTGCGCTGTGATGGGTGGCGTCTCAGCTGACTCATGGTGAAAAATTTCTGCGTCATTCACCATAGTTCCCTGAGATACCCTATAACCTGCCCTGAAGCGAAAAGTCTTATGTGAGAGATTGACGACTGGAATGAGTGCACCTTTATCAAGCACCACAATTAGATGATGGGGAATTAATAAACTATCACATCTCCCAGCCACCTGAAGGGTGCTCCCTGGTTGGATGTGACGTCCCACGGCTACTTTAATCAATTTATCTGGATGTGGTGGGCAACTTTGCTTGGTCAAAGCATGTAACCCACCTGACCTCTTAACCGTGTCTGGAAGAGACTTAAAAATCAATTTTGGGTAGTGGGCATTATATTTCTGCTTCCTCTTTATTGAAGCAACCACTGGGGGATCTTCTTCCTGAGGTTATCTTGAGATGATTTCGGGGCTTTTAGTGTCCCCGCGGCCCGGTCCTCGACCAGGCCTCCACCCCCAGGAAGCAGCCCGTGACAGCTGACTAACACCCAGGTACCTATTTTACTGCTAGGTAACAGGGGCATAGGGTGAAAGAAACTCTGCCCACTGTTTCTCGCCGGCGCCCGGGATCGACCCCGGGACCACAGGATCACAGGTCCAGCGTGCTGTCCGCTCGGCCG